AAGAAGGATGAAATCTCTGGAAGTTGTCCTCGCCGCAAACCCAAGAAGACTGTGCATGAATCGTCGGATGAAGAGTACCAAGAAGGTGGATTTGAAACGGAAGAAGATGAATCGTCAGAGAGTGACGAATTATCGGAACCTGAATGGGATAGTCCATCAAAGTAAGTTAACTATTCAGTTTCGCTGAATCGCTTCGGTATTTTTACACTGAAGTATAAAATTTTCAAATTTTGAGCAAAAAATCATCAGTTATTAAGAATTATGATACATACCAAGGAATGAATCATGAGTGTACTCTAACAAATTATTCAAAATCTGTTCGAGTTCACTTGTAGTTCCGAGCAGTCATAGAAAGTGCTGTAAGCAGTTGAATTCCTTTTCAAAAATTTTTTAAAAAGTTTTATTTTGAAATGGAATTGTTTCAGGCGACGACGATCCACAAAATCGACTAGAGCTCAAGGCGCGTGATTGATCATTGTGTCTTTGGTTTCAATCACTTTATTTCGATGAGAAATTTAAATCTAATGATATATTTGAGTTATGAATTCAAAATTTACTTTCAGACACACGATCTTCAAGCAAAGTTCTATTCGATTCACCAAGTAAATGGAACACTCAAACAGCTGCAAAAACTCCTCGGAAACATGTAAAATGATTCGTCATATTTTGCTTTCTTATTATTCTTGTTAAATCTTCGTCACTAACACTATTTGGAACGCAGATCTCGCTATTTCTGTTATTTCGCCAGAAATATACATTTATATCTTTCAGCAAAGCGATGGTCTCGAAGCTGTCCGATTGAGTTTACATACGTCTGAGATGCCCGAACATTTGCCGTGCAGAGAAGAAGAATTCGAAAAAATTTATTCCTTCATAAGGCAGTCCATTCAAGAGGATGCGCTCTCTCGGTCGATGTATATCAGCGGGGTACCAGGTACCGGCAAAACGGCAACAGTTATTCAGGTCNTATTCATTTACATTCTCATCTTTCCTGGTTATTCATGATTTCATTTTATTCAAGTAAAAAAAATCAACTTCAATATTTGAATGCAAAACAGGTAATGTTGAGTTTTTTCATCATATTTTATTTTTTGAAACGATATGTTGATCACGCAATAATTGCTGGAAAAAACTTTATTTGGTATAAGCGTCCAAAATTTTGCTTCAGTAATAAATAATTTAGCTATATGATTCCCACTGAAATAATTTTTTGCTTCTTACAATTAATATGAGTATATTGTTTATCTAAATGTCATTTTGAATTTTGTACGATGGGTCTGTTATTTCGATGAAACTTTCAACGATGCGCCGTTGAATTTTTCTCTATTATTGCAGGTAATCAGATATATGAAGAGATTGAAAGGATGTCCTCAGTTCAGCTTTATTATGGTGAATGGAATGGAAATCGCCGATCCTAAACAAATATTCACTGAAATCTATGTTCAATTATTTGGTAGTAAAAAGAAAATTGCTGCGAGGTAATACAAGTCTCCTAACATTTAAATTGTGTGTATGGTGTCCATTCCTTACTATAGTCGGATCATTAATTGGAATTGTTCAAAGTGAGAAATTGTACGGAATCGACTTCACTAAGTCTTTTTCGGTCATCCATCTTGGATCAGTGATTGGCAGCTTGGTGGAATGAAGGATTCTGAAATGTTTCGAAATCGTCAGTTGTGATATGAGCGTTTTAGTAAGGTGATTCGTTTTCAGTACGGCTCGTCGTAAGCTGAATGATATGTTCCAGTACTCTGATTCCAAACGAAAACCGATTGTTATCGTCATTGATGAGGTAGGTACTGGGTTCACTGAAGAGTTGTTCCATCGGTTTCATCAAGTGTTTTCAGTCTGTCCAAATATCAACATAATTCGTCAAAAATACTAGAATACTTCTGTTGAACGTTTGTATTGAAGTATTATTGGTGTCCTAGATTGAGCTATCAATTTTCGATTGATGATGAGGCATTTGAACTAGATAGTGAAAGTGCTTTTTTGTTATCATATCAGTCATCATTCTTCCTCGCCTTCTTACCTGCTTAACTGACAGTATTATTGTATACAGTGAATAACAACATGATAAGCGGTCAAATTTAATCTGATTGCAGTTGGATTTGCTGTGTACGAAACGACAAGAAATAATTTACGATATTTTCAATTGGTCATCAAATGAGGAAAGTGGAGTGAGTGTGTTGGCGATTGCAAATACGTTGGATTTACCCGAGCGCATTTTGTCAAGACGTGTTGGGAGTAGATTGGTTGGTGTTTAAAGTTTACCAATTCATTTCGAGGGGAAATATTGACTTTTACCCTCCTCGAAATCGAAATGAATTGAATGATGCTTTTAAGGGTTTGAATCGGTTGTGTTTCCAACCATATGATCATGACCAGATTGCATTCATTATTCGAAACCGACTTTCTGGATCATCGGCTGTTCAAGAGGATGCGTTGGAATTTGCGAGTCGTAAAGTCAGTTCTTTTTTTGTGTGTGAAAGCATTGCATTCTCGTTCGTCATTCAGTTTCTATTCGTTTTTTTTTTTCAGCACTTGCGCGATTTACTTAATTTATTGTATTGTGATTGCTGTTTATTGATATTATCATACGTTTATTGATATATTATCGTATGCGGTGTTGTTGAAAAAAAGGATAGTGAAAAAAGGACATGACTGTATTGTTTGGGTTGTGTTGAGCAACGTTATAGTGGTTGATGCTTGATTGGTTTCGAATCGAACAAGTTGAAATCAAGAATCAAGAAGGGAAAATTCTGATCAATCGTTAAAGTATTGTTCACTTCATTCAAATTTTTAACCGAATTCAGGTCGCTTCGGTATCAGGTGATCTTCGTAAAGCGTTGGATATTCTAAGGCGTGCAACACAATTGGCAATTAATTACAAGGCGAAACAGCTGACCATGAAACATGTACGACCTTTTTGTAATTATAAGTTGATCGTAAATATAAGTTTTATTTCGAGCTCTCAGTTTTCCATCTTCAAACATTCTGATTGTAGTTGTTTTAATTTTGAGTTAAGAGAAAGACTGAGTTCCGGATGATTCAGTTTTGTGTCAGGTGATCGCATTGAGAACTGAAAAGAAATTCATTTGTTGTTTTTAGGTACAAGATGCTGTGAAAGAAGCTTCAACAACGGCTAGTGTTGACTTGGTGCATTCATTGTCACGACATTCTTTGATGATCCTTCGTTCGGCTTTAGCAGAACAAATTAGTTGTGGTTAGTTTATTGGTTTTCAGGTTTTTTGATATGATGAATATAATTCATTTTAAACATCCACTCATAGACTCGCTTGCTCAGTCATTCTGGAGGAAGTCGTGAAATACAAGAGAATCAGTCAGTCTTCAGGGTGCAACTTTCTTATCAACATTTTGTCACTTTTGTTCTCAAGATAATTGATTTGCAGGTTTGGACGAGTTTCTCTTTAGTGACCTTCTGAAGCAATATCGGTTACAGTGTCATGTGCAGCATATTGATCCACTTCCAGTGAGTTCGGTGTATGCAAATGCAATGGAAATGTGCACGTAAGTATGCTTGTGACTGTAACATTCCGATATTTTTGTGCACTTTACATAACTAAGCGAGAATTATCTCGAAACGGAATTATTTGATTCATTTCCAGTATTCTTCTGCCTATCCGGTTCCATTGAGACCTAAATTAGAGTCGTGCAAGGAAATCAGTTCAACTGGTAGTCATCGGAATATCTTTATTGATTTCGAATGAACCAATTTCTGAAACTTTGACCGTAATTTTGACTGCGGATTTGAATCCCTGGAAATTCATGACTGATGAATTTACTTTTCAGTATGCGTCTTCTGGCTGCAGCACC